ACATGACCAGTGCCAGCAAACCCCTCCGGTCGGATATTGTCCTCAGTTGTAATTGCCCGTTCGTATGGCTGAGCACCCGGCCGGATGCTGTGTCCCCGAGAATGAATGTCTGACTGGCCCAAGGTATGGCATCGCGGACGGCGGTTTGGCCCCAGAAACCTGTGGGGGCGGTCGTCGTGATTTCCGTGAATATGGTCTCGGTGTCGGAATCTTGGTCTCGGTCGTCCTCTATCGTTGGCTTGTCCTGCATCACTGGCTTGCCCTCCATCGCCGCCTTGTGCTCGTCTTCGACTGTTGGCCTGGAAGCCATGTCGCTGGCGACTGGCGGCCTGGCCTGCAAAGTGTTTTGACGGGCGGGCTTCCGGAAGGCGACCCAGCTCCAGCCCCCAGCCATGAGTTTCGTTGGCCCGGAATATGGCAAGTCAGCGACGAGGTTTGAATGAAGAAGAAAGTCCAGCTCTTGTGCGGGGAGGCCTTGTGTGACCACGGGAATATGCCAAGGTACAGGTTGGGGACGCAAGGAGGCCTACAGCCTGTTGATGTGGTTTTGAGTGCCGCCAGACCTGGACGGACCAGGCATTTTGTTGGGTTTAATCACGCTGAATTCGGGCAGCATTTTGACACCCAACAGCGCGACAGCTCTCGGCATTTTGTTGCAGAAAACATTCCACGTGGTGCCATTCAATACCTACAGTACATGTATCAGCAGCTTTCAAGATCAAAACTTTGCCATTTTATTAATAACATACCTGTTTGCATGCTGTCGAATAAGTTTGGAAAGAGCTGCCTGACCAAATGTTAAAATCATATACTCCGAGACATGTTCAAAGATTTCTCAGGTCCGTCTAAAATAAAAAAAGAAACAGGCCACCGAAAGCAAAAGGAAATGTGGTCTTGCGACCAGTCAACTCGATCCACCCAGGGGTCGAACCTGGAACCTCCTGATTACTCGATCCTTTCCTGGGATGTCCCAGATCTTGGAGTCGTAGTCAGACGCTCTGCCATTGAGCCAGCGGACCTTGTTGAATGGATCCGGTTAAGGATCCGATTATTGGTGGGAGAACCGAGACTGGGCTGTGGAGTTGGAGCTCGTGGCTGGTCCACCATTCAAGCCTGACCCCTGAACCCCTTTTTCGCAGCTGAAAACCAGCACTGGCAGCCACACCACACGTTGCGCTGCGTCACTTGTTCACTCATAACAGTCCTGGGACCACCTTCGGAGGCTGCCCACACCCTATCCATATTAACAAGGAGGATACGAATCCCACTTACATGGTGGAAGGAGGAAACCAGTCCATTTACAGATTTGGCTGATCCCTCGACTGAGGGACTTTGCGCTGGTTAATTCTGACGAGCCGCCCCGTACGCCAAGCCTCCAGAAACACAACCTCCCGAGAGTCTCTTGGGCGATGCACGTCATCAGTAGCAAAGGCGCTCAGGGGGGAAGACAGTGCTCGTTCGAGCGGCACAAGACCATGCTGAGAGCGGCCCCAAATTGACCCCGCGTGTTAATCACCGGGCCTTGTTCCCGTTCGCCAGATGATTGAACATGCCGATCATTTGGATGCGCAAGAAATCCTTGACTGGAGTCCCGGGACGAATGGGGAGCGTTACTCACATCAGATAGATGAAACGCACCCCACACTCTCGGCAAACGTCCAAGCAATTCGATCCACACTTTGGGGAGACTCAAGGCGACGAGTGCCTGCTGTGCCTTGTTTTAACCGGAAAGGCAGAGCTTTATGTTCATAACATGCACGACAAGGAACAGGACTCGGCGGCCGTGGCAGGATACCAGAAACGGCAGAAGTACCGCAACGGTTAGTCCCGAAATTTCCAGACCCTCCTCCACAGGATCGGCTTTGGGAATTTCCCCATTGTTCGAACGCGGAAGATGGGAGAGCAAGAACACTTGGGAATAGATCTGCATGTTCCTTCGGGTTTGGTCCCTGGATCAGCACATCCCGCAAACGACTTGGATGAGGATGCAGAAATCCATGTTTCGATTCACTTGGAGAGATGACGCTCACCAATGAGACATGCAACCGCGGGTCGGGATCCCGGGGACCAGGGTGCAAGCGACGGCAGACAAGACTGCCACGCGATGCCGAGCACATCAAGGACGCAGCGACGAGCCGGGCGGATTCCCGGCGCAATATGCATCTGACAAACGGCGGTTGATGCGGAGGCGTACTCCCGGGCCAACTCGATGCTGACCCGGGATAGGGGCTAGGATCAACACGATCTTGCAATTAGGGTAAATAGGGCGCAATGCCGCCCGTCTCCTCCCCAGGATTTTTCATTCTGTCCCGGGCAACTTGATATATGTACGACAGGAAGATCACCCGCCTCGAGCGTTCTCTCCCATAGGTCTCGCATCTGAAACCCAGCCACTGTCGTCACGCCCTCCCGTCTGTTGGCTGACCTCCCGTCCTCTGCCGCCCTCACAAACAAACGACAACCCACACAATCCCAACAAACCAAACTAGCTCCCACACCAGCAACCGCCACCATGCTACCGCCCCTCCTCCACACCCTACTCACCCTCCTCCCCCTGACCATCCCTGCCCTCGCCCACTCCCACCTCGCGCACATCCTCATCAACGGCCAACTCTACCACGGCTTCGACCCGCGGCCCAACCAGTCCAACTCCGCCTCCCGCGTCGGATGGTGGACATCCGCGACCGACGACGGCTTCGTCACGCCCGCCAACTACACGCACCCCGACATCATCTGCCACCGGGACGGCAGCAGCCCGTCCGCGCACGCGCCCGTGCGCGCCGGCGACCGCATTCATGTTCAATGGAACGGCTGGGCCGGTGGGCCACGTCGGGCCGGTGCTGACCTACCTAGCGGGGTGTGCAGGGCTGGGAGGGCAGTGAGGCGGGCTGTACGGGGGTGGATAAGAGGGCGTTGCGGTGGACCAAGGTGGATGATTCCGAGCCGGTGTTGGAGTTTGTGGAGGGGGCGGGGATTAATGGGGGCGTGCCGGGGCAGCGGTGGGCGTCGGATGTGTTGA